CCTGAGACGGTGACCGCATCCTCATAGCCCGGTACGCGCACTGCCTTGGGCTGCCCGTCCCCGTTCTTGTACTGGACCAGGAAGTGGTCAAACTGACCCTCGGGCACAGTCCAGGAGAGGTGCAGGGAGTCGGGAGTGGCATCGGTCACGGTCAACTCCCCCAGGCGGGGCTTGGTGGGAGGCTGGGGAGTTGTGATGGGTGGGTCTGTGGGGGCTGGCATTTCGTGGTCCTTTCCTGGGGCTGGATCAGGAGACAAAGAGAATGTGTGGACGTGCCTCGTGGGCCCCCTTCCAGTAAAGGATACTTAGATTTCTCCCAGACACACCAAGTCCCTGCAGCCTGGATGCTAGCCCCCCAGGATTAAGACATCATCTCCCTGGTTTGAATGTTAGTGACCAAGGGACAGAGCACACTCTCGTGGTAACATCATGACGGGACGTCGGGACTGCCATGGTGTTCTGTGTGTGCGGGCGCTGAGCCCTTGGGAGCCGCAGAGCAAATCTGCACAGAGGGACAGAACTAAGGCTTCCTAACACCGCCAAGCATACCAGACAGGTCACATCAGGAGGTATATCTACTAAGGTTTGGAAATTCTACTTCATGAGTATTTTCCTTTAATACCTTCTCTGGTTGAGAAGTCTTCTGAGCATTTTTAGAGACAAATTTAGATTTCACAGTGGAGGCCAAAGAGATGAGACACGAGGTCGTCTTTGTACCTGGGTGGTTTTGGACCTTGCATTTGCTCTCTCCATAATTTATGGCACAGATGACTCATCACACCCCCAGGTTTCTTTTGGCTTTTCTGTTCCACATAGGGTTTCATTCTTCCTTAATCGCTGAATTACAAAATCATCTTGTTTCCTATCTGTTGTTTGGGAACCAGGTCTTAAGCATCAAAGGGTAATAGTTCCAAAAGAACTTAACAAAAGCAACAATTGGCCCTGTTAGCAAATAATGAATGAAGGGAAGGTGCCTTGTGAAGTTGCACATACGACTGATACTAACCATCAAAGTAAAAGCAGCCATGGTAGCAGGATTCAGGGTTCATTTAGCATAAAGGGGGATCAGTCTGGGTTGGAAAACACATACCATTTTACCCACTGAAATCAATGATAATTATGAGAATTCATCCTAAGAGTTTTCAGAAACTAATTTTCTTCCTCTTCCTTCTTTACAAATGAAGAAAGGGAGGCACAGAGAGGTTGAGTGACTCTCTTGGGGTAACACAGCTCGAATGGGCTGAGGCTAGGGTCAACCCTAGGTCTGTTTGAGTGTGTTATTTCCCTGGTGCTGTGCCTCTTCAAGGACCAAAAAGTCTGTGTGTGGGGGGGCCTGACTGACTCAGTCAGTAGAACACGTGGCTCTTGATCTCGGGGTTGTGAGTTCAAGCCCCATGTTGGATGTAGAGATTAATTTAAAAAAATAAATAAATAAAGCCTGTGTATAAAGGGAAAGATGGCTGGGGCAACACCAAAGGCTTGGAGTAAAGACACAAGCAGAATCATTCTCAGGAGCTTGGGAGACTCTAGTCTCAGGGACAGTGGGACAAAAACACCTGAATACCGACATAAAAGAGAAACTGAGTCCAGCTAGGGCAGGGCCCAGTGTCCGACTGTATACTCACCAGTTAAACCGACAGCAGAGACCGGGCCCACGCGCTGGCCACCGTGGAAGCCGTACAGGTTCATCTTGTACTTGTGGCTGGGCTCCAGGCCTGAGACGGTGACCTGGTTCTCACTCCCTGGCACTCTCACCGCCTTGGGCTGCCCGTCCCCGTTCTTGTACTGGACCAGGAAGTGGTCAAACTGGCCCTCGGGGACAGTCCAGGAGAGGTGCAGGGAGTCAGGGGTGGCATCCATCACGGTCAGCTCTCCCAAGTGTGGCTTCGGAAGGATGTTGGTAGGGGGCTCCCTTTCGGGGTCTGGGAATAGATGCAAACAGAACCTTTCCTATTGCTGGAAGAACTAGTTGAGGCCCTGGCTCTACTGGATTCAGACCAGAAGGTGGGCCAGCTGTGTAGGCCTAACTTAAGATCCATTTCTGCTTAACATCAGTCTTTTTGTGGTCTCTTCATGGTCTGTCAAACTTACCAGGCAGCCTCCTACCTCAGGGCCTTTGTATTGACCATTCCCTTTGTGTGAACATTCTGACCCTGGATGTCTGCATGGCTCATGTCTACACTTCCTTTAAGTCTTTGTTCAAATGTCACCTCTTCAGGGCCAATCATGACCACCCTATCTAAAATTCCAATTCTCCCAATTGCAATGTTTTCTCCTTTTTTTGGACCTGATCCCAGCAACAAATTAGAGAACAACATTTATGAGACAACCAGGAAACTAACATTCCCTACATACTTAATGATTTTAATGAATGACTGTTCATTTTTAAAGGTACAATAACGGTGTTGTGGCTATTTTTAAATACTTTTTTTTTTTTTAGGGAGAGAGAGAGTGTGTGCATGAGTTGGGGAGGGGCAGAGAAGATATCTTAGGCAGGCTCCACACCTAACGCAGAGCCCGGTGAGGGGCTCGATCTCATGACCCTGAGATCATGACCTGAGCCAAAATCCAGGGTCGGAAGCTTAACCGACTGAGCCACCCAAGCGCCCCTTAAATAGTCTTTTTAAAAAGAATAATACACTTAAATATGAAGCCATGAAGTATGGGATGAAGTCTAGAGCATCTGGGATGAGTTTACTAACTCTGCAACAGTATATCCATACAATGGAATACTATTTGGCTGTACAGGGATGAGTTCTGCTACACGTTACAACATGGATGAACCCCGAAAAGGACCTTGATGAAAGAACCCGGACACAGAAGAGCATGTTATTGTATGATACCGTACCATCTATATGATACGTCTAAAAAAGACAAATCTACAGAGGTAGAGTTCTAAAGTGAGATAGTGTTAGAGTTCCACAGAGAAAATTCTAAAATTAGATAGTGCTGATGGATGCACAACTCTGACTAAAAATCATTAAGTTGCAAACTTAAAGCAGGTGAATTTTATGGTATGCAAATTATATCTCAATAAGCTGTTCTAAGCACACATGGCAGTGTGAGGATGGCAGGTAGCGAGTGGGGTGTGGACCAGCCAGACTGGCCAGCAGTGAATATTAGGCTGCAGCAGGGCAATGGACATATGGGAGTTCATGATCCTATTCTTTCTTTTCATGTGTAAGGTTGAATCTCATATAATAAATATTTGTTGGATGATTGAATAGTTCGTGGCATTTGCCCCAACCACCAAAGCAAGATCTTTCCAGGTTTCCCGGAAAAGCGGAAAGCCACAAATGGGTCAGTGTATCACTACTTCAGAGCCTTCCAACCGAGGGCCACTCTGACATAGGACTGGCACTCGGGCCTCCTGAGCCCAACTCACGCCTGTCCGGACATGTTACTGGATGAAGCGTGGGTTAGGTGAGGCTTTAGGATCCTGGCTCTCCAGGGGAGGACACCCTGAAGGCTCTAACATTGAGACCTTACCCAACCCAGCCCTGAAGGCCCCGCCCCCACTCACCGGTCA